GGCGCCTGGGTGGCTCAGTTGGTTAAGCGACTGCCTTCGGCTCAGGTCATGATACTGGAGTCCCTGGATCGAGTCCCACATCGGGCTCCCTGCTCAGCGAGGAGCCTGCTTCTCCCTCTAACCCTCCCCCCTCTCACGTACTCTCTCTCTCTCATTCTCGCTCTCTCAAATAAATAAATAAGTCTTAAAAAAAAAAAAAAAAAAAAAAAAGAACGTGAGAAACAGACTCGTTTAATTTATCTTTGAGAAAAGGACCAGAAACTTTTTTTCAGATTCTTACTTGAATTCTAGGGACTGACAAAGAGAAAACAGTGGGAATGATCTTAAGCAGGACAGAAAGGGTAAAGCAGTAAAAGATAACACATCATATTTTTATGAAATCACACAGTAGAATTTTCTCCGGCGGTTTCACCAGTGTCCAATGTTACTATTCTTATATGTTTTCATTTGACCAGTGAGTGAACGGAGTCAGTGATTAATCTGTCTCCAAGGAAATCTTTAACGAAATTACAATTAAATCACAGGATTGCATTCTTGATGCATCTACTTGGTCAATGAAGGTTTGTTTTTTTCCTCTTCGGTTTCCCTCAGTCTTGATCTTTTCTCCCAATCTCTTTTATCTGTCTGTTTTCCTCTTCCGCCTAGTTTGTGGTATTTGGCCAGTTCTTTAACTCCTACCCAGCTTATCCAGTTTTGTCATTGTACAATTTCCCATAACTGCTTCTTAGCTTATTTTTTTTCTTTATTGGTCACATTGTATGTTCCATTTTTTGTGCTTTCATACAGTTTTGAAAAGTTTGGCAAATAGACTTTTTTAAATGTATGTAATGTTTTCGTATAAAACGTACTGACTGCTTTTGCCTCATATTCTCTCCTCTGTAAAAATGTAGCAGTTCCGGGGTGCCTGGGTGGCTCAGTCGTTAAGCGTCTGCCTTCGGCTCGGGTCATGATCCCAGGGTCCTGGGATCGAGCCCCGCATTGGGCTCCCTGCTCGGCGGAAAGCCTACTTCTCCCTCTCCCACTCCCCCTGCTTGTGTTCCCTCTCTCGCTCTGTCTCTGTCAAATAAATAAACAAAATCTTTAAAAAAAAAAAATGTAGCAGTTCCTTCCTTGCCCATAATTTCTCTGACTTTCCTCAATTTAACCAGACTTGAGGGACTTAAATGTGTCATTTCCTGTAATTTAGGAATATTTCTCCATTTAAAAAGCATACAAGAAGTTGAGATAATGCAGTAACTATGAAACATGTCTCTCCTGCTCACTCACCCCTTCCACGTGTCTCTTGCCTACTCTTTCTTCAGCAGTAAATCTATTTTGTACTCCTTTGTCCCCTTACCTCCAGAGATTCTGATACAGTCAGCCAACGGTGGAATTCTGGGCTTTTATATTTTGTAAAAGTTCCCTAGGGAAGTCTGATATGGAATCCTTATTAAGAATGATGCTTTCATAGCAGAATCAAAACACAATAAGCTTTCTAACTGTGATGAATAATCCAATAGATTTAATTATGATTCTCTTTCTGTCCCAAACTAAGACTAGATGTTAATTGCCAGAGAAATAGATAAGGATGTCTATGACAACAGAACATTAGTATGATATCAAAGCTTGGACATTTTGCTGGTAGTGAATAATTTAGTGCTTAAAATATTTAGAAGCTATAGAATTAAAATTAATTTGTTTTTCCCTAAGTGAATAAAGTTGATTGAGGTTTTACATTTAATTTATTACATCAAATGTTATCTTCTTTGGGCTCAGAGGCTAACTTGTAAAACACCACGTACACATTTTTTACTTCCTGTTTCAATCCATTACGCCATTGTCTTATTCTTTATTACGGAAAGTTCTCCTCAAGTGGTTCATACACTGTAAATACCTCTCCTGATTACAAAATCTTCTCACATAAATGCAATAGACTATTTAATGAGCTCTCCTTTCACAAAATTAAAAAACCTGAAGGCCCTGGTTTGGGACTCTATATAAATGAGATTTATATCTAACAATTTTAAATTATTGCTTTATTCTTAGCTATTCAATTCTCTCTCTTATCTGGGAAATAGAAAGAATAAAACCCTTGTTGATTCTACAATTGGGTTGTAAAAGTCACTGCAGCCACCAGCCATGAAGTAGAAGGGCCAAGATCAAAAATACAAAGCAGAAGAGCTGATATAAAAATTCTGAAGCAGTTTTGGCTTATAGCATTATAAACCACCACCAAGAATTCTTAACAAAGATTCTGTCATCCGACTACTAGTGTGGTGTTCCTGGACCAGCAGAATCGGCGTCCCCATGAAGCTTGTTTGAAGTAGAGAATTTTGGGCCCTCCACAGAACCACTAAACCAGAATCAGCAATTTGGCAAGTTCTCTAGGAGATTCTTTTGCACTTTAAAGTTTGAGACGCAATGCTATAGCACACATCTAATACATACTCCAGGCATTTTTTCAAAATATTACGAATAGGTGTGGATATTGGACACCACTGAAGGTACAAATCAGAGTCTTAATCTTTCTTCTCTACTTTTCTGACTTCTGTCTTTTAGGCAAAGATTTTCCCATTCCAGTAGTCATGCATGATTGCATGATCCAGCTAGTTCACAAACCCTGTAGCTTCTGCCCTAACAGTGTATTAGGTTTATCTTTTCCTTTCTGGTGCGTTATCAAAAGTCTAGTCTTACCCCAATACCAGTCTCCCAGAATCCTGTCCTAGTGTTTTCCCTGTGTCCCTGTCTTAAACTTAGCCTGAACTCTGCCTCAGAATTATCCAGAAACACAGCTCTAGCTCCAATACTCCTGTACTTACAACGGAAGTTATTTTCTTTTGCCACCCAAAGCATTGCAAACTCCGTAATGAAAAGCCAAGTCCTCTCTGCCGAGGCCCAAGATCCACCCAGGGCTGCCCCTCTCCCTGCACTCCCCCTCCCATACAGTGACATGGAGCCCACATACATACTCCTGATCACATCATGGAAATGGCACACCATAGGCCTTGCCTCCTGCCATCTGCTAACCCCCCTGATCCTCCACGTTTCTCAGGTCTACCCATTCTTCATATTTCACATCCCCCCAGAGTCATCTTCTGTTCATCCTTCCACTGAAATCATCCCTCTTCTGGTGCATCATTTATGAGCATCTTGCTTTCTCTCTTGTATGGAGTACAACAAATTATCCTTCACAACTGTGTCTCACCTCTTCAGCTAGATTATATACTGCCTGAAACCTAGAAAATGGAACTTTTTTTTTTTAATCTCTAGGAGGCCTGATAAGTATTAATACTAATGATACCATGACAGTGATGAAACTGAACGTCTCCCTTCCTCCCCCAGTTCCTTTATTTAGACATGCATGCGTTCCCTCAACAGATAGTTACCCAAACCTCCCATGCGCCAGATACTGGACTAAGCATTAAGGACATAGTCATGAATAGGACACAGTCTCTGACCTCAGTGAATGTCTGGTATAATAGGAATATAGACACAGTTTGTTATGAATGAGTGTACCCGTTACTAAGCAAGTAACAGTGAGTGTCACACGCCACCCCGGTGTGAATGGATGGTAAAGAGTGAGATTCAAGTAATGGTGCAAAATCAACTAGTTGCAAGGAAATACCACATGTTCACTAGAGCATATCTCGTACATGTAAGAGAGTATAGTGAGGAAGGCTTATGAACAGTTCGATAACTGCATAGTTTTATGTTCATTTGAGGCACTGTGGTCCCTGGAATAATGGCCTTGTTATCATTTTTGCTGATTGATTGAGTCTTTTAACTGTTAAAGTTATACTACCAGAAATTCTAGTATTCAAAATAATATTACACGAAAGTAGTAAAAAAAAAAAAATTCTTTATGTGGAATAAGAATCTTAGATTTGACCCAGTCTCAGAAGACATGCATCCATTCATTTATTTGGCAAGCATGGACTGGCATTTACTATGTCCTTGGTATTGGCTCAAAAGACAGGGAAATATAAGAATACAAGATCATGAGAATCACATCTATCAGGTAAGTGTTCTGCATACTAACTTTATGCTATTAGTATGTGGGAATTTGTGAGCCCTTTTGATTTAAATGTGGTAGGGATCTCAAGTTCTCAGATCATTTCATTTTCTAACCTGCAGATTTAGTACTGGATTATTTTAATTGCCTAAAACATTCTGGATGATCTTTAAAAAAAAATAGTAGAGTGCCATTTTTAGGTAATGGTAAAGAGCATTTTTGTTTTTATGTATATTTGGTTGTAGTAGTCTCTTTTTTAATGACAGTCCTTTTCTGTTACTCTTAAAATTTCATTCAGGATAAAAAGTGGAAGGTATTTCATCTTGACATCATCAATGACTCATAAAAATGTTCTGGTGGCTATAGATTATTTTAAAATTTATCACTGTACCTTAGGGATTTTTTGATAGGCTGCCCCTGAAAGCAATTAATTCTGTTTTATGTGGTTTTATAATGCAAAATACCTTGATGGAAACAGAATTTGAAATAAATCTCCTTCTAATATAGCAATGCATTTTTGCTTAAGTATCTCTAGAGGTTGTTTTTTTTTAAATACTATGGCTAAAGTTATGTTTGTTCTTTTTCACCTCTCCTATCGACAGTCATTAAGAAATCAAAATACTTTTTTCATGTTGAAATTTTACGACACTTCATAGACTATTAAACGTGGAGCATCCTTGTGGGGACAAGAAATCGAATTTGCTCTTGAGAAGGTTTCCAACTAATTGATATGTAGGACATTATACCATCGTCTAGCTGACAAGCTTTACAAATAGAAAGACCAGAGCTGAACTGAGAGGATGCTTTTTTTACTGACACATAAAAGGTATCTTTCTGCCTTGTAGCCTTTGGATTTAGGCATGTCAGTTTCATAGAGAAACTTTCACACGGCGCTTTTTTATTTCTGTCTCTCCCCGTAGAACCACATGTTGTAGCACACTGTTAAATCTTTTCTCAAATAAAAAGACGTAGGGCTTCATTTTTGTTTTGCCTTTTTGGTCTCTTACAGGAACTCCAGGATGGCATCGGACAGCGGCAAACTGTTGTCAAGGTATTGAATGCGACTGGGGAAGAAGTAATTCAACAGTCCTCCAAGACAGATGCCAGCATTCTGCAAGAAAAACTGGGAAGCCTGAATCTGCGGTGGCAGGAGGTCTGCAAACAGCTGGTAGAAAGAAAAAAGAGGTAGGATAACAGATAAAAATAGGAATCCTAAAATTTTAGCAGAGCTATTTAAGCTGTCCTCTAAAAAAGACTCTGTGAAAGATTGGAACCAGGGTGAAAAGCAGTAAGGGGAAGGAGCCCCTCAACTGTTAATCAGTAACAATAATGAATTTGTTTTCTGTGTCTCATGTCCTGAAACATGTAGCTGCTGCTAGTGAAATAGCACTTTGCTATTTTAAACTTTGAAGTGTGTTTTAAACACCAAGCGATTGTTCAAATATGAACATCTTCAGTATATTCCGGTTTTAACAAGCTGAGGCTCATTTATTTGAAAGAAGATGACAAAAGGAAATAACAAATGACTATTTTGTAGGAAAGACTGCGATTTGGCTAGATTTTTGAACAGCTATAAATGTGACTCTGATACTCAAAACCAAGATGGTCATATTTACTTTTTAGTTCCACTATGTTTGTCAGTACATGCTTGAAGAGGGACTTGGGCCGACAATGGTCAAATCTAAAGGGGCAAAAAATAAAGGGGCAAATAAAACCTCAGAAAGGTTATTGCTGAATTCAGTCATCTTTTAACTTTCCTTTGGAAGGTCCTGAAAGCCCAGAATGCCAAATGTATGCTGCCACACTTGGAAGGCATAGATATTTTTATAAATGGGATTTTGTATTATGCTTCCAGTTGTTGATGCTAATGTTGCCTTTTTCATAAGGGAGGACTTGGCCTTTATTTACCAAATGAGACTATTGTTTTGCAACAATGAAAACTCCCTTCTATTGCCAAGCTCTTGCTTCCTACCTATCATCTACATAGTAGGTGATTTTTAATATTCAGAAAGCTAGGACAACGCATTGATGAACGTCTTTGGTGAGGGTATATTAGAAAGGTTTCAGAATTAGGTCCATTGTCTTTGCCCACCTCCTCTTGGTGCCTTTGCTCCTGTTGCATTATTCAAAAAGTAGATAAAATTCATATTCCTCTACAAAAGGGATGCTTTACTTAACCTGCACACACACACACACACACACCTCTTGATAAAGTTTAAAAATAATAGCATCATCTAAAAACATTTTTAGTTTGAATCTTGGCTTAGAAAATAATTATAATTTTTTCTTAAAGATTTTTATTTATTGAGAGAGAGAGAATGAGAGAGAGAGCATGAGAGGGGGGAGGGGCAGAGGGAGAAGCAGACTCCCTGCCGAGCAGGGAGCCCGATGCGGGACTCAATCCCAGGACCCTGAGATCACACCTGAGCTGAAGGCAGACACTTAACTGACTGAGCCACCCAGGCGCCCTAGAAAATAATTATAATTTTGGGGCGCCTGGGTGGCTCAGTTGGTTAAGCGACTGCCTTCGGCTCAGGTCATGATCCTGGAGTCCCTGGATCGAGTCCCGCGTCGGGGGGTCCCTGCTCGGCAGGGGGTCTGCTTCTCCCTCTCCCGCTCCCCCCTCTTGTGCTCTCTCTCTCTCTCTCTCTCACTCTCTCTCTCTCAAATAAATAAATAAATAAAATCTTAAAAAAAAAAGAAAATAATTATAATTTTGTATAGAGATAATGGAAAATAAAGGTCTAAACTTGGTGGTGAAACTGCTTCCTCGGGGAAATCATATACTTTTTTCCCACATTGAAATCTCTCTATTAAACACAAAACTATATCATTACTTAAATAACTGATATGTTTAGACTATGAGCAGGTTTAAACCTGTATAATATCATTTCTGAACTAAAGTCAATCCAGTCTAAAATAAGATGTTAACAAATGGGCAGATTAAGGAAAATTGCATAGCCTGCTCTAAAAATTAATAACTTGAATTCATAAAGTAGATTAAATGGGTTGGAAGATTATTTTTTCTTTATTATATATAAAGTATTTTTTCTCATCTCTAAATATCCTGCTCATATTATGTTTAGATACAACATGTCAATATTTTCTCTGATAACAAGGTTTTAAAAATTCAGGTGAAAAAGTGATCTATTACTGACTTCTAAATGAAAATCAGAACTTAGAAACATAGGGCCTTAAGACTGTTTCACCAAATAAGCTCTAAAATTTTAGATCCTTCTAAGTTTACAAGAAAGTAGTGTATGCTGACACTGTGATGAAATATTACACAAATTGTGGGTTAATTACAGCTAGGGATTTGGCTGTAACTGGTTAGAAATATTTTTCCATTTAAACATTTTGACCTACATTAAATATTGTACTTTTGTGCTTTAAAAAGTCAAGATCAGCTTCCTTGAGGGTTTTTTTTTTTAACTCAGCTTTTAAAGTTGTCTACTTCACGCTACATTTTAAAAATAAATGTTAGCATATTTAAATTTCCACTGAGATCAGTTTCATGGCATACTTCCTCAGAATTTTTGTATCATTTAAATTTTATGAAATGTAAAAAAGTAATAAAATAGAAGTGCCTTTTCTACCAATACACTAACAGCTATATCCAAGCATCCAGTAGCAAATAAAGTAAAAGTAAAAAAATATACATATAAAGAATATGTTAACCTAACAATAGTGGAAGAGCTGTAATCATGAAACTATTATTAATCAATGCCATGCTTTCACTGCAACCCAAGGAAAAGTCAGCAGGAACCAGAGGTTATTTATTGCACAGGTGAAAAATAAAATGACCATTCAAGTTGACATCAGTATTCTCAGTTTGCAATGGGCTTTAAATGCAGCTGTTGGAAATATTTCATGTTTCCTAGTCCATGTACACATACAAAAGAAAGTACACAATTTAAGCAGAAAAAAAAATCTGCAAAACTGTTTGGAGCCTTACAGCTACATAATTTTAAACCCTTCTTTTTGAAAATGCAAGGTATCAGAAATATGAGCAGAAAAATCCCAGAACAAATTCAAATAGCAGTGGACATCCATTAAGGTTAGTTTATGTTGGAAATAAATGAAGTATAAAATGCAGTCAATTAGGTATACAATTGAAGACAAAATTCACTGTTGCCTCAATTATGTAGCAGAGGAACTGGATAGCATCTATAGGTTTAAGCATGACAGGATAATGAGTTTAATGATGGCTTAGCCACCAATATGGTCTTTGTAAATGAAGAAGATGCAAATGAAAATTTATCAGCCATAAAGGAAATCATAGGCTAAAACAAAGCAAGCCTATGTAATGAGGATTCTTAAGCCCAGGTCCATTGGTAGGATTCAAGGGGTGCCATGAGCTTGAATTGTAAAAAAAATACCTCTGTTTTTGCTAACCTCTAATGGAAATTGAGCATTCTCTTCCATTTTGAATAAAGGCAACAAACCAGAGTAATACTAGGAGTACCTGTGAAATCACAGATATTTTTATATTTCAGTAGAGTAGCTACACATATCTCAAAGTATTGTTCAACGTTACCACTTGTCAAAATTGTATCAGTTATCAGATCTTCCATAAGATCTTATCAATGTGTTAATAATAAACAAGCACATGTATTGCTATATCACAAAAAATATTTCCTAGTAGTTTTATAACCGTATTTCAATACAATTGACTTTCTTCGGAGTTCTTGGCTTTTTATATTCTGGACTTAAAAACATGATTCTGAGAAGAGTCCCAGGCATCGCCAGATTGCCAGAGGGCTCCATAGCATAAGGAAAAAAGGATCTTAACTATGACTGGCTAGCTGTTTTTCTGCCCAGACCTCATTATCATGTACTGTGGTCTCAGTCCTTTTAATGATGTCGTCACTATCTTCATACACTCCTTTTTTTCTGGATATCCCAGGAGATGTACCAGTCAAGGGAATGTAGGTAGGCAGGCCTTTGAGCAATGGATTGCTGACAACATAAGGGAGGCCATTTTACTTAGAATAATATCAGTTGATAAAAGATTAAATGGAAGAGGTCAGCAAGGTGATGGGAAGTAGAATCCCTAAATTGAGGAATCTTTGAATCATAATCCATAGCAATGAAAAGTGATCTCAAGAATTTATCTCTCCTTTTCCCTTTAGGCAAATATGGTATTGTTTCCACCATTGTAGAGATAAAGCAATTATTGTACTTAGAGGAATAAGAGTTTTAATCTAAATGCCACCTGATCGAATACACTGCTTGAAATTTGTCTTTTGCCAACATTTTAAATAAAAAATTACAAGCATATAGAAAAGTTGAAAAAAGTAGCATAAGGAATACCCATATACCCTCTTCTCCTTCTCCTAAATCCCTAGATTCAATAGCTAACATTTTGCCATTTTTTTCTCCCTCTCCCTACCTCCCCCATGTGTGCCTTTATTTATTTAATATAGGCAATAACACACACATGCACACACACACACACACACATTTTTTGTTGTTTTAAAATTTGCAAGTAAGTTATAAACACCCTTATGCTATACCTCTAAATACTTCACCATGTATTTCCTTAGAATAGGGACATGCCATATATAGCCATGCTTGTTTACCAGGCTCAAGAAAATTAAACATAATACCATATTATTGTTTAACATCCCACCCATATCCAAATAGACCAAATGACTCAAAAATGTCTTTCATATCATTCTTTGAGGTTGTCATACCAATGTCCCATCACGTTTTATGTATTGCATTTGGTTTTGTAGGAGAGGAAAAAAAAAAAAAAACCTTTCTCCTCTACCCTCTTAGCTTTAATATCTGGAGACTGCAAGTTACATTGACAAAAAGACACATTAATAGGAGAAAGGGCATACAGATTTTATTTGATGTTAATTTTTTAATGTGGCACAGGGGGCTTCATAGGAAAGAAGTGAAAAGCCAAAGAAGCGGTAGACCTAAGAGCTTAAATACCATTTTAACAAAGAGAATTAAATTGTAGGGAGGTGACAAGACAAAAGAAATGGGTTTGGGCTTCTAGGGGTGATAGATTGCAGGAAGGCAAATATATGGGGAAACTAATGGAAGATAAGGATATGTCAGTAATAAGTAGATTCAAGTCCGTGCTGCTACCTCTAATGATAAAAAGTCGTCTGCTCTTCCTGGTCCAGAAAAGGGACAGCAGAATCCCTTCACAAGGGCAGGTGTATGCCCTA